CTATGAGAGGATGTTTATTAATTCCCTGCTTATTAATTTTTCCTTACTTTATGCTTTGTGCTAGTGAGTGATGTTAAATGTGCACATACTTCACACAATCTCTTGCTTTGATTTGGGCTCCTTCAAGATAAAGATGTTTCTGATTAGCTGGAACTGCTGAATCATATGTGCATCTCTGAGTTTTTAGTACTTGACAGTTCATGAATACAATGTATATGTTAGTCATATATGGAGGTGTTATATTTTTAGTATAATGCATGTATCTACATTTTTTTTTATCATTTGCCATGTGGAGAAAGGGAAGCTTTCTTATATCTGTGATTTAATCATCCAGTCTTAAAAAATGAACAGAAAATAATACTTGTTATATTCACTTCTCTTCCCAGCCCTCTCTTTACCCTATTCAAGATGCTGCTGTATTTCAGTAGATTAAAAGGAAAAAGACAATGAATCATTATGGGTTGGTTCAATCCTATATATACACTTACTTACAGTTAAAATCTATTGAGCCTATTTCTAAAAAATATTTATAGATTTGCATTGCGTGGAAATTATTGGAACAAAATTAATTCCAATTTAAACTTCTATAATCTTGAAATTATTTTGGCCAACTTCCAACACTACCAAAATTCCTTCTAGCGCTGTAACAAGTGTATGCTCCTGCCAGGTAAATGACAATGGTCCTTTCTGCACCAACAGAGGCAATCGGAGTGAAAAAGCCTTATTGTGGCACATGATGAATTTAAGGCTGTGAGTTTAGATGCTGATCTTTCTTCTTTAACTCCCCCCGCCCCCGCCCCCCGCACTCCCAGCTATATCAGTATATGTGTGGAGGTATGGGAAAAGATTGTTAACAAATTGTACCTGGATTGGCATAATCATAGTCCACTTTATTAGGACAGATAATGGAGGATGTGTTTCAAGAGGTCGACGGATAAATTTGACACTTGCTATGCCCTGATCCAATGAGAAGTTATTTTGCACAAGTCCCATTCTAATCAATGGGAATCGTACAGACAGGTGTGGTTTGTTTCAATCATGCAAGAAAACTCCTTTGTGGGCAAACCCCAGATTAGTGTGTGTGTGTGTGTGTGTGTGTGAGAGAGAGAGAGAGAGAGAGAGAGAGATTTGGATTCTCCATTCTCAGGTATCAAAGGATTTGCCCTGGGAATAAGCTTTTCATGCCACCTGACTTTTTGTCCATCTGTCCTGAGGGGTTTTCTGTCTCTCTTTCTCCTCTTCTCACTTTCTCTGAAAATAGTAGTAGTGTCTATTTCTGAACCGGAAATGTGGCAAGAGGGAAAGGAGGGAGGCTGGGAGGAGCAAGAGGGAAATGGTAAGGTGGGGAATTTGCTTAAGGTCAGAGGGGGTGAAAAAAAAACAGAGCTGTTTTTACATCTGTCGCAGTCAGTTCAACAGCTCTTCAAGAAAGAAAATACAGAACTTGTTCTGTTCTGTTTGAGGTGTCCTGTTGGAATGAGGTGAATCAGTGGCGAACAGCCTGGAAATATGTTGGCCATCGGAAAGTAGATAAACTTTTAGGGCTAAATGCAGCCGTTGAAGAAGCTGGAGGACGTATTGCACATTCAGTCACCTCTGCAAGAACAGATGGGAAGCAAAAGATTCTCTTGGTACACCATGAGAATCCATCTGTTTCCTTTTTCTTTCTTTGGAAAAAAGATAGTTTGTTTCCAAAAGAAAAGAGACCCATATTCCTAACCAGTCAATAAACGAAAGGTGAATCTTTTGTTTAAGCACTAGCCACAAACATTTCTGTGGCACCCGAAAAATGTTAGGGGATTTTTTAATGTACGGTGGAAACGTCAGTTGTACAAAGTGTTTATGAGAGTCAGATTGGTCCCTGGAGTCCAATTCCTATTCTGCCATGAAGTTTGAGGCAACAAGTTTCTGAATAATCCATTGTCCAGCCTTACTTACACCATCAGGGTGGTATAGTGGTTAAGGTGTTGAACTGGCACTGGGCAAACCCTGATTCAAGTCTACCGTTATCGGGGAAAGTTCACTGGGTCGCTTTTGGCCCATCAATGCCCCATCTTTTTTCCTTGTGGAGAGAAAAGGGAGGTGGGAGCACCGAGTTCCTGAGCAGAAGGCAGGACATAAATCTAGCAGGCAAACAAATAATCTACTGCAAGGAAAACTTCCAATAAACATGGTGTCCTCTGTTCAACACATCCACAGACAACCTAAAACCTCTTGATACAAAGAAGAATGCACTTTTGTTAGTGACCATTTGATGAACCTGTCCTGCCTCTCAGGAGTTCATTCCTGAGAAAGACTCTTTGGACCAAAGTGGTTTATCCCCCCACCTGAGGGAGAGTTGGAATTGAAACCTTTCTAATGTTAATCTCACAGCTTAAACATCTTGGAAGAAAGCAACGGACAACCATTTCTGTAACACCGCTAAGAAACCTGCATGGTTTTGTCACCAAAAATCAAATTTCACTTATTTTTACCAAATTGTCTATGTTAGCAAACAACAGGAAAGGGAAAGATATAAAATTATAAGTGATGCACTTTTTTATTTTGACAATAAAAACAACTATTAATTCATATAAAAAAGAATTAACGAAGATGGTTTGGATTGTTTTGCTACAAGTAGGCAGTAGGTGGATGACTTTAAAAAGTTAATTTTTACGATATTGGGTATTTGAATTTATTAGCCACTGTCAAAATCCTTGCCCAAGATAGTTAGACATACTTTGCTTAGCTTTGAAAATAAGAAGTATATAATTACTGGTTATTAGAGAAATCTCTCTACCATCCTGAATGAGTATTTTTTAATAATCCTACCCAGTATAGTTAGAAGACAGAGGACTAGCTTTAATTAATTTGAATACGAAACAGAAGAATTTTTGTAAGTTGACATGATGTGTTTTATGGTTTGCAGAAACTACTGTCTTCCCTCATGGGTTTTTCTGCAAATCAAATGTGTGTATATTTGTGTCTGTGTTGTTGTTTTTGTTGTTGTTAGCATTTATTCCACCTAGTAGCAGGGTCTGCTTGTTTTTGCACTGAGCTTGCCGACTTCTTATAGCAAAGCTATCAATGAATGATGAGACAAGAGGTTTTGTTTATCAGTTGGTTTGTGATAGAATCTAATGCTGATCCGGATGAGAGGAAGTGGCTGAGATCACCCAGAGTGTTTCCATGACCAAGGGAGGACGAGAAGCTGAGTCTCCCCACTCCTGGTCCAGCTCCCTAACCACTATACCACACTGACTCTCTTGTGTCTGTATATTTAGGTTTTCAGTCTATTGGGGTGTGTCTTAATGAGTATTAATCAGCTGATTGACTGACTCAACTTATAACCCAACTTTATACTTCAGTAAAAAGCCTTTTTCATGCAAAAGATGGATAGTGCGTAGGTCATATGTGTTCTGCGATGAGGTCAGCTTTTTCTAACACAGACACATACCAACTAGGACAAACACAGGTACAGATACCTAAGTAGACAGAAACTCTAAAACACAAACATATGCAACATAATGCATATACAACACACACAAACTGACTACATGCCTACCTGCCACTGGAGTCATGGAGTCACATGGTGACAAGAGAAGGGAGAGACATGCAAATACTGGGGAGACTAGAAGAGTGGTGAAAAATAGGAGGATAGAAAAGGAGCTAGAGACAGCCTTGGTGGGAAGCATGAAAGGCAGTGAGAATAGAGTGGGAAGAAAGCTAAAAGACCATAGCAAGAAGAGAGAACAGGGGTGATGAAGGCTTAGGTGAAAGCCTGAGGAACACGGCTGGGGGATGAGATGGATGATGTGGTGGATGGAGTAGACATGGTGGTGCCCAGTTGTGGGTGCCTTGGCTGAGGTGATGCAGCAGAGGACAGTGGTGGAGGACAGTTACAAGAGCAGAAGCAACTCTTACTCTCAAGGGTTTTCCCCTCTGGAATGACTTCTTCATGAAAAGTTTGAGAAGGAAAAAGTTCCAAAGCCAAAAATAGGGTTTTCTGAATTTTAGACAGCTGGGGACAGGAGGATATCAATACTTTTTATTATGATTGTTGTGGTTGTTTATTCAAACAGTATACAGCAAACTGGGAGTTGAACTTTCACACGTGTAAATTAAGTTTTCTACGTTTTAGGCCACTCAATCTCTAGTGGAGGCTTCAGAGGAAAGCTATTCCTTTTCCTCTTTCTCTTCCGATCGAGCCCTGATGGGTTGGCCCCGAAATAGCAAAAAAGTCTCAGAAATGGATGAGTTTTTTATTTACACTTAGTACAGGACTGAATAATCCTTTGAATTTCTAGATGTCCAGAAGTGTAAGTGCCTCTTTCCCTTTTCCAAACATGGTTGCCCCCCCCCCCAAAAAAAGAAAAGAAAAACCACCATTGATATTTGTGGAAGTACCATCATTTTGGTGAGAAACAACTCTAAATTGAGGCAGAAGATCAAAAATCTAGGGCTGGATTTTCACAATGGCCAAAACTGTCACTGAAAGTGGGAAACAGAAAATCAGAAAGTAGAAACAGAAAAGAGCATCTTAGAAGAAGACATGTCTGGCTGGGACCTATGTAAGAAGATTCCATATGCAATATTTTCTTTCAAATCCTACTTGTAATTAATTTATTGCAATTCAGAATTTTGCTGAAGCAATGATCCTGGATGCATGGAAAGTACAACATTGTTGGGAATGTATATGCCATGAGTTGCTTTGCTAGATAACACTGGTTTCAAGATAACACTGCTGCTCTTCTTTGCCTCAGATGGCTTTCTTAATGCATTGGCAATGGGGCCAGGTAAGGACTGTGTCACCTGGTAACTACTTTCTAGCCATGAGTAATATACAAAGAAAACTGAAGTGTGAAAGATTGCCATAACATTTTCTTACAAGTCGTGCCTTACTTGACTACAGGCATGTCTCAGCATACAAGCAGAGAACAAACTGAGTTTGTGGCAAACTTGTGATGTGATAGCCTTTTCTCTCTTCCCTGATCCTTCTTTCTACCTCACCAATTAGGAGGATGTTTCCGTTTCTGAGTTTCAACATCTCCGGGCTGGATCCCGTGGCTCATTACAGCATCTATGTGGATGTTGTGTTAGTGGATCAGCACCACTGGCGATACCAAGGCGGGAAATGGGTTCAATGCGGCAAGGCCGAGGGAAATATGCCAGGTATAATGGAGAAATCTTCTCTTCAATCATTGTCTTTTCTCTTCTCTTCTCTTTCTGCTCTTCTGTATGATGAGGAGGAGTAAAATTCCAATCAAGATTCTGGTACAGCAAAAGTTTGAATGAATCTACTTTTAGGTGTGTGCTGTCCTTGTGCATGGACTGCTGTTTTTATAAAAAAAAAAAAAAGAGGCAATGACCACCCTGGGCTCAACAGTGTGAATGGTTTCAAATCTAGTTTGGCCCACAACCCCCTATATTATAAAATACTAGAAGCATGACTGAGGAGCAGGTCCGTGACAGTTTAAGCCTTTAGATAACATACTCTGTATAATCCAAGATAATAAAATAATAAAGGAGATGTACTCTGCATGAATCTGGAGGCTTTCTTACTAGGGGCCTGCAGCATTTCAAATTTAGGGGGACAAGGTGCTTTGTAGCACATGGAGGTGCTCATGTAAACCCCAATGGCAACTCTTAAAGAGCTGCATCTTTTCCCAGGATCATGCACGTACTAGGAGGATGCTCACGCATGTCCCAAGCACCCTTTCCCTTCAACTCAAAAGCACTGCACAGCCCTATTTCTTCATATACAGTATTCCAGGGCTCACCTCTGGCTCAACTGAGCCATGAATCTTGTGTCTTTGCATATAGGAATTCATATGTTTAGAATATTTATCCACTTCTTTTCTACAAAAACGTCTCAAAGAAGTTTACCTAGGACCATTGCCTAATGGGCATGTTACAAGTAGTTCACTGTTGCTGCCAAGATCGGCTTCTACACGCAGAGTTTCTGCACTAGAACAAACCTGCAGTGTTAAATTTGTATCCAACCCTACCATTAGGCATTAGGCATTAGGCATTAATAAATGATGATGATGATGATGATGATGATGATGATGATGAT